AAGGAAGAATAAGCATTAAAGAATTAAAAAGTGTTAAAGAAAAGAAAAGAATAGGTTGTTGTGATGGGGAACCGTGAGTGCTAAGAAGAAATTCCCACATACATGTCACCTTAATTGAGTGGCATAAGAAGAAGAAGAATTGTACGGCCCGTAAGAGTGTATGTGGATGAGGGTTATACCAAGAAGAATTCCTACATGGACGCCACATTAATTGAGTGGCCTAAGAAGAAAGAAGAAGTTGTACGGTCCGCAAGAGTGCATGTAGTTGAGGACTGTACTCACTCACACGGCCAAGGTTCCAAATCCATGCATCAACCGAGTCCGATCGGCAAAGAATAAGAAAAGAAAAGAAAAGAAAGAATAAGAAAAGAAAGAATAAGAATAAGAAAGAATGAGAAGGCTTGAACAAGCCAAGAAAAGAAAAGAATAGAAAGAAAAAGAAAAGAAAAGAAATAGAACAAGAAAATAGAAATAAGAAAGAAAAAGCATTTTATGCATTATTGCATATGCATTTTATTCATACATATTGCTATGAATTTCATCATGGTTAGGAAGAATAGAAAGAATAAGAAAGAAAGAACAGAGAGAAGTAGAAAGAAAGAAAAGAACATTGAGAGTAAGAAACATAGAAAGAAACAGCGAAAGAAAAGAGAAGGAATTAAATAAGGAAAGAACCTAAGAAGGAGAAGAGTTAAGGGATTTACTTACTGAGCATTTTTATGCTCGCCCCATTGTTTTTCCATATTTTTGCAGGAAATAGGTGAGCAGCGGTCGGAAGGACGTCGACAAGTGGGGAGGATTGGCATTACTGTCTACTGTCGCTAAGTTTTTTGTACTTGTTATTTTGATATATATAAAGAATTATGTTTTGTAAGTAAAGAAAAATTTGGGCCCAACTATTCTCATATACTAATTATGTATGTTTTTATTGTATCTAAAGTATATTAGTAGAAAGCAATTGTTACAAAATGAGAGAAATTGAAGATTGGAAGCCTTTAGGTTAATCAAATACGGAAGATTTTATTCTTTTTCCGTTTTCCTAGCATGTTGAACTCTATTTTTACTGTTTTTCTTAGGATTTGCTTTATTTTTAGTATGAACTAACTCACTTTTGGGTTAAGGTTTTGATGTAATTGGGATTTTAATGTCTAATGTATAAATTGATGTTGCTTTCATATTCTATTGCTTGGATTATGTATTTATTCTTGTTTTAATTGCAATTCAATTGTTGAGCATGATAAGACTGAGAGGTGATTCATGTATTAGCTTCTTAGACTAAATACCATTATTTGATTGAACGCTAGAGATAGGTTCAAAGATCCATGAAATCAATTTAGGATTCCACTTAGCTTTATGGACTTGGAACTATTAACTTTCAAATTGTAGGGTGCAGAAGCTTAGTAGGGGTTAGTAGCATAATATAGCCTGAGAAGGTATATTTTGCAGATTAGGGTGTCCGATTTATAATCCTTGCATGTGAACTTAAAAGCAACAGAAATTGTAGACTAAACCAGAAAATCCTAGTGAAGTCAAAACCTAACTGCTTTGTCTTGAATTGATATTTTCTTGAATTGATTTTGCCTTCCTTAGTTAGATTTTAAATTACGTTGTTGATTTTGTTTTAACTTCAGCTTAGTTGTCTCCCTCAAATCCAACCATTTTTCGTTTACTCATCATTCTATTACTTGTTGCGACTAGTGCACTTGCTACACATTGCATGTTGTAAAAATAGACTATATTACGCAAAAAATTATATTATTCAACAAAACATAAATTAATTCGCTCAACAATTATTTCATATCTATCAAAAAAATATTCACAACCATGTAATATGTAAAATAATTGTATGACTATATCAAAACAAATAAGCTAGTTATTTTTGTTCGGAAGTTTATTATGGATAATTTTCTTGTGAAATTCATATGGCAAAATAAAACAACAAAGATATAGGTTGAACTTGTTTACTCTCTAGATAATAATTATATGTAGTTCTAATATTAAATACCTTTTTTCTTTTTGGAGATTGACTTTCTTATTTGCTTTGAAAATTTAGGCCTTTTTTTTTGTTCCATATAAACATTCTCAATTTTCTATTCTCCTTGCATACTTTTGTTCTCAAATCAACGATATTTATTTTTCCACAATCATATTCCAATTTGTAGTTTTCAATCGCTTGCGAATATAATTCCTAGATATATATGATTGTATAGCTGCTACACCCTGATCCATAAGAACCATCTTACAATCTTGTACCTAACCAAAACAAAAAATATATTCTGTTAATTGCATTCTTTTTTTCAACTGTGTTTAGTCCAAATTATTATAATTATATGAAAAAATTAATAACAAATGATTTACTATAGTTTTTAATGTAAATTTATGGATCGACAAATGTTTTATTAAAACTTTATAGCACAGAATATTATAATTTTCCAACAAGATTTGAACTAAAACAAAGTTTCATCTGTTACAGCCACACATTAAAATGGTTCGGCAACAAAAAGATTTCCAAACAAAGGAGAAATTTATTATTATAAGTATGAATAAATTGTTGGTTTGGCAATAATCTACCAAAAGTATATCATGCATATGTTGATTCGACAACTGAGAATAACTTTGACTCTAACATTTTAACCAAAAAGATACTTGCATCTATTACAGTTATACTTATATTATGGTATTCTAATTAACTTGTCATAATTCTACATGCCCATTATATATAAATAAATGCTTTATCAATTGAATTTTGATCTTATGGAAATCTTAATCAATTACAGTTCTAATGAAAAATTATGATGAACAATGAAGTTTTCAATCTATACTTTATTGCTTTTCCAAGAATTTTTATAAATATTTTCAAAAATTAAAATGGTCAAATTCACTTGTATATCACAATCAATATACAATTTAACAATTGTGCAGAAATTATTCACATAAAGAATATATTCATCACCTTTAATAGGAACTGCACTCTAACTATAAGGAGAAATTGTTTCATCCAATTGTATATATCTACATTAATGAACAATAAAATAAAGACATAAGAGAAATACATTAGTAAGAAGCATATAAATAATACTATGCTTAAATTCAATAAGAAACGAAAATAGTACAATATAAAGCAAAAAGGAAATCTAAACCTTAAGGTAGATCAAATACACCATACACAAGATAACAATAGTCTAATGTTCATATAAATATCTCTCTCTCTCTCTCTCTCTCTCTCTCTCTCTCTCTCTCTCTCTCTATATATATATATATATATATATAGCAATGTTATTAATTTCAATAACCAGTCAAACACAATATTCTATAACATATACAATGTATGAGTCCATTGAAATTCACATAACTATTATATATATTTATAAATGCCATGCATCATAACTCACTGTTTATTTATAGGGTTAGATTCATCTCACTTGCAATTTATTAAGAGGGATACATGAATAAGCAAAGTAAATTTTACAAAATAAATCATTAGCAAATTAATAGTTAGACATATTTTTATATCATGAAATCTTATTTTTTGTTTTTATTTAAACAATAATTATATTCGCACTTTAATATCTTCCGCTTGTTTAAAACGTTGCCATTTAACATATTTATCATCCTTAAAAGCAAATTAGGGATTAAGGACATTTTCTGCGTTGATTCTATAATCACAGTTGCACTTCAAAACCTTTCGTATGTATCAACAAATTGAATTACATTACTTTACTAACTAAATTTATTGTTTTTATCAACTCACATCACTATTCGGCTCTATTTTTACTTGCATTAACCAACAATTTGTGAGCAATTTCAGTTTTTGTTATTGGGTTTTATTTGCATCTCATTTTTCTGCTTGATAATGTCACTTATAGAAATTCCTAGCACAATTACCTGTGCTGATCTTTTGCAATCCAAAAAAATTACAATATTGGTGATGATTTTGATTTATTACCATGAGATGGTTTTAAGTTTTTTGTAGTTCGGATCACCCGCCTGGGTTTTTCACGTTTTTTGAAATTTTTCTCTAGTGTGGTCTTGTTCCTCCTTTCTCTTCGTTTGTTGAAGAAGTTATGATTTTTTACAACGTTACACCCACTCAGCTCCATCCTAATGCCTGGAGAATAGTTTTGGGTTTTGAAGCATTGTGTTTGATACACAATATTCTACCCATGTTTTACATTATTAACTACTTCTACGCATTGAAAAAGAGGCCGAATAGTCCATTCTATTTTATTGAGGGTAGAAAAGGTCGAGTATTGTTAATTGGATTATCAAACAAAGTGCGTGGATGTAATGATAGGTATTTTATGTTAAGTAGCAAAAAAGGTTAGGGTGGATTACCCACACAATGGATAAAAGCTAGCATACCCCACCTTCAATCTCGGTAAAATACATGTGAATGAATCTGGCATCCAGACATTGGAAAATTTTATTTGCAATCAACAAACATTAGATGTTTTCGATTTGTTGGAGAAGTACTCCATTCTTCAATTCAAAAGAGTTATTGTAATTTTATATATGATCAGTTTATATTTATTTATTAACTGTTTCTCATGTAGCTTCTTTTTATTCTTGGTTATAGTAGATATCGAAAAAGCTTCTCCAAATTCAACAGCTTCAATATCAACTTCTATGCCCAAATTAATGGGCCTTATTTTTGCGGCATCAAATACATTTGAAAATTAACATAAAGATGAAGATATAGATGAGTTACCATTGATCAGGCGAAGCAAGTGCAAAAAGGTGTGTGATGAGTAAAAAAGATCTTGAAGAACTTACATCAGAAGAGGTGAATTCTATGATTTAAAAGTGATGAAATTGGTTTAGTTTTAGTTTATTAAAAATTATTTACATTATTGTTGTTGTTCTTGACATGTTTGTGGAACAGAGAATTATGGCTTATTTGGAAATCAGAAGGCGATGGTTGGCCTCCAATAAAGTCATAGCAAATTTGAAAACAGAGAAAAAAAATTGTTGCTCACAAGACCAAAATCACAGAGGAAATAATGGATTTAGAGAAACAGATGGCAGAAGCTACGAATGAATCAAAGCTTTGTAAGAGGAAATTATCGGTTATTGAACAATCATGTTCAAACGCAAAGTTAGAAAATGATGTTCTCGAAAGAAAGGAGAAAGAATTGTTGGACTCCAACAGAAAACTGAAATCTACGCTTGTTACATTTGAAAAGGAAAGAGATAGAGCTTTTGATTTTATCTCACACATGTTCTTGAACACTCGAGAAGTGTGTCATGATGCATTTAAGTCTAGATTTCCTGATGAAGATTTTAGTTTCTTGGAGGGTTTGATTCTGCAAGATGAAGAGAGAGATTTGGTAAAAAAGGATTGAAATGGCAACATTTGTGGTAACAATGGAATCTCAGTTTAGACTTTGACGTTTCCTGTCACTTATGGTATATTTTGACAGAGGTGGAATTATGTATAATTACATAGCCATGGATGCTAAGTTTCCTGGTGTTGTTTTGTGTCTGGTTGGGACTTTCAAGAATATAAACAATCATAACTACCAGATGTTGAAAGATAATGTCGATATGTTGAAATTTATTCAATTTGATTCGGTGGAGTTGTAGCACCAATGTGGGATTCACTTTAAGAAGAATAATGAGAAGGGTATTGATGTGAATGGAATTGCTGGGTTTTTGATTTTGAAAGGGATTGTGTTGAACGATGGTGATGGTGCTCGCTGGATTATGTTTCAAAGTGGTTTATGTTTGTATTTGTAAAAAAATTCCCTGATATGTTATTTATGAACTATGTGTAGACTTATTGTAACTGATATACTTGGTTAATGACTGGGACATTGTTAAGAATGTTAATTTGGATTATATCAACAAATATTGAAATATTGGTATTACAATATTGTGAATCTATTGTTTAACCAATACAAAATAATTTCAAACAATAAAAAAAATAATTATATGAGAATAGAGATTTGTTTAATATATTTTAATATCAAAATACATGTGTACACTGCTTTATATATTTATCAAGGTTCAGCACGCAGTGTATGTCTAGGTTCTGTAGTCATCTGATCAGAACATTCTGATTTGAGATCAATCAAATACTCTCGAGTCTTAACATCAGCAACAATAAGCTTAACATCATCCACGATTTCAAATAAAGCATTAATCATATCGTTTCATTTTTTTCTCTTGCATCATTTAGATTTTTTATGTTTCTACGAAGATTGGGTATATCTGTTTGAACTCCTTCTGTCTAACACCCATTGCCACACCAACAGGTTTAAAAAAAGAATCAATTTCAATAAATATTTAAACAAGCTAGGAATACAAATTGCATTATATATATATAATAGCATAACATAAAGTTGAATTCCAAATAAATAAGTCAACTAATAACACAGAATTTATAATATTTTTTGTTTAGTTTTATATGACACAAAATTTGTATTACCTTCTCTCTTGACGCCTTCCTATTCCAAGTCGCTCCTCATTTGCAGAAAGCAAAGTATCATTTTCTTTCAAATTCGAAATAACAACGACTATAGAATTCATCACCTCGACCAGCAAATGCATGCCTTCTTTGATTTTTGTTTTCGCGGTATTTATATCGGTAACATTGTGGTCGATGTCACTCACAATCCATTTCAGATCTCCTCTTTCTCTAGCCATTATCGAACCAATTAAAGGTAAAGGAGATAAAAAGGTCCACAAACATATAAAACTTATATGAAAAAAAGTTAAGATTGATAGTTATACATACATAAAATTTCGAGAAGAGTTTAAATAAGAAGACAAAACGAACATATGGAAAACAAACAGATTTGTTGTATTAAATGAATGCAATGATTGAAGAATCCAAAAATATCAAAAACCCAACCGAGGTGATATGGACTAACTTGAAACGTTTCATTGATTTAATAAATAATTATATTGGGAAAACCAACAAAGAAATAGTAATAAATAAGTATAATGATAAAAAAAAAAAAAAATTGCTCAGATAGTTTCAAAAGAAACAATAATATATATTTAGTTAAAGTCCAATGTTTCATACAGTGGTTACAGCTTGATATTAGTGTAACAATTTGTTCAGTAGACCAATGATAAGAATGTTATAGTTCAATGAATGATATAATGTTTATAAACATTTTAAAACTTAACTAATATGAAATCATATGTCAAATTAATTTGTCATTTTAATCTGGTTGTGTAAGGAAACGATCAAGCTTATCGCAGCAGAAAACAAAAATTATAAAGCACAGATCATTCCCATTGAACCTGTAACACCTCCTCTTTAGTACGATTCTTATAATACATACTATGTAGATTATAGATATACGTAGCGTATGGAAAATAGTGGGCTCAAATTTTTCCTTACTCATAAAATATAATTCTTTACAAACTCAAAAGACTATGTATTTAAAAACTTTCTAATTAATACAAAATATCATAGCTGGTGGACAGTGGTGCCAAAACTCTTTGCTCCTTGACGTCCATCTGACCGCTGCTCCTATTTCCTGCAAAACAGAGAAGAACAACGGGGTGAGCACAACAATGCTCAGTAAGTGAAACCTCTACTACCTGTCCCCGCAACTCACTCTTTGGTTCTTTTCTCACTCTACTATTCTTCTATTTCTATTTCTTACTGTCTTCCTCTTTCTTTCTAATACTGTTATTCTCCTTTAACTCTGCTCTGCTCTTTTTTCTTTCTTTCTCTCTGTTCTTTTCCTCTTACTCTTACTCACCATGAAGGAAAATCATGGTTCTCTCTCTTATTCTCATCATACTCACCATGAAGGAAAAATCATGGTTCTTGCCTGTATAAGCTCTACATGCAATTAATACAAACGAACTGCATGTTTCTTTCTTCTACTCTCTATTCTTATTAGCTCAAACTTCCGCATTCTTTCTCATACTCTCTCTCTCTTTCTATCTCATTCTTTCTCAAGCTTTCTCCCTTCTCTTCTTTAATTCTTTCTATTTACTCATTCTCATTTCTGTTTCTGTTTCTCATAATTCTTTTCTGTTAACTCTTTTTAGTAATCACGGCCTCACTTACCGAGGCACGGCGGGACCGCTCCCGCACTACGTGACTTCTACTTATTCTAGCCGATCGGACTCGGTTATGCATGGATTCGGAACCTTTGGCCACGTGAGTGTATAACTCTCTCGGGTACTCGGGTATAGCCCTCATCCGCATGCACTCTCACGAGCTACACCACTTTTCTATCTCATACTCATGCCGCTCTCTCAATGCGGCGTACATGCGGGAATACTCTACCCATTACTCATGGGTTCTCCATCGCATAACCTGCTCTATGCTCTTATCTCCGTCTTATTCTTTCTCATGTTTGCTCATCTCTTTCTCAAGCTAGTACTCATAATATAGCTTAACTCTTAGCTTTTCTCATCTCTGTTCTTTCTATTTCTGTCTTTCTCATTCTTATTCATTGGAATGTCATGACCTCATCTGACCGGAGGCACGGCTGGGAGCTACCACTCTACGTGACTTCGCTCATTCCTCTACCGATCAGATTTAGTCATGCATGGATTCGGAACCTTTGGCCTGTGAGTGTACATTTTCTCTCTATCTCTCTCAAATGTCACGACCCTTCTTACCGGAGGCACGGCTGGAACCTCATGTTCCACTCTACTGACGGTCACGGCCTCATCTAACCGGAGGCACGGCTGGGGATCACAAAGCACCACTCTCGTGACTCTACTCGTCACTCGCAGGTTCCCCATCGCACAACTTACTCTATTCTCTTTGTAACACTTTTCTCTCTTTTATTCGCCGTGCTCAATCTCTCTTCTCTTTACTATCAAAGTATTCTCATTCTCTTTACTCTTAAGGTGCTATTCTCAACATTCTCTACTCTTTCTCACTCAAATTATTACTCATAGTATAGATTATACTCAAAATTCTCTACTCTAAGCTAGTACTCATAAGGTAGCTCATATTCAACATTCTTTTTCTTTCTCAAACTACTTCTCATGCATAATTAATGAATATGGATGGTTCATACTCATTATGCACTTATGAAAGCCAAATGCAATATTGCTCTAAAATCGTCATTCTGCACAATTCACACTAAAAGGGCATAACTTGCGTTATACACATCGATTGCTACGGTTTGGTCTCGTTTAAAGCTTTGGAACAGGGCTACAACTTCTATGTTTGGTCTAAACCCAGTTCAATCCGTAAAATGCCCAAAAATCATTAGAAAGTCAGGCTGTGACAGGGCAGTTTCTCACTTAGGCATTTCATCAAACAACTCATGTGCATACAAAACTCCTCTATAATTCCAGCTCTACTTCTCTTTTTAACCATCCAAAATGGGAAGAACTCCTTCTATGGGCATGGTTCCTATCATAGAAGAACACTCCCAAAATATCTACTCAATCTCCTCCAACTTCATCTCAAACTCATCACACTTAACCTTCATAAAGGAAATATCCAACAACATAACATAAATACCTTCTCAACTCAATTCCTCAACAAAAGACATACATCCTACTCATTCTCAATAAGCATCATATATACATACATAATATCTCTATTTAAGAATTTCTTAAACTTTGCTTGAGTTGGATTTACTTACCTCATACTTGGTAGTCTCCACAAAGCTCTCTACTCTTGTTGACCATAGCTTTCCCTTATTTCCTAGAATAACTTAGTAAGAACTTAACCCTTACAAGAATAAACTCATCTCTAAAGTAGGGATTCTTACCTCTCTTGCTTAGGATCACTTCTTTGTCAAATTCCAACTCAAAACTCTCAAAAATCCCTTGGAAGATTGAGTGCGAATTGAGAGAAAATGGGAGATGAAGAGCGGTGGAAATGGTGAAATGAATGGGTTTAGAGAACTCAACCCTTATTAGGTCATATAATATGCACTCTTTCCCATTTTGCCCTTACTCTTTCTTGAAATTCCACCTTATCCTTTAACTCTTTACAAACTCACACCCATTTACACTATTCTCCATGAAATTTCCTTACTTTACTCCCCACTTTTACTGCTAATTAGGGTAGAATGGTCATTTTACCCCTATGAAGAATTCTCTAGAAAACTCAAGGAACTTTTCTGCCGTCTTGTCGCCGCGGCGAAGAACTTCCTGTCGCCCCGGCGAAACAGTCTAGAACCGCCCTGCCAACACAGAACCAACGTCGCCACGACGAAGCTTCTTCCTCGCCCTGGCGAAGGTTGTAACTCCAAAATCCGCCAAGTCTTGATCAATTCCATGATACACACTCAATCAAACCCAAAACATCAACTCAACACGCCAACCAAACAACATGAATAATAATACAACTCATTTAGGGGCAATTCTAATCCTTTAGGCCATACCATAAACAATGGCTACGTATTTCAAGTGGGGTGTTACAGAACCAAGATAGGGCATAATTTATAGTTATATGTTAAATCAAAATCTGTAGTATATGAACAATCAAAGTAGGGTTTATAGTTCATACACACATTTGGAGGCTCCCTCAAACTTGTCTTTGACTGGTTTGCTACCAATCCAGAGCAGGATCAACCAGTGGTAATCCACACGAAGATAACCCGAAGAGCAAAGAGGGATTGGCTAGATCCTCTTTAGCTTCAAGAACCAAATTCAAGAATCAAGAAATTTTGATTCAATGAAATCAAGGCCGGCGTGAGACTTGGAGAGGGTTGTGTATTCTTTTTCTTTCAAGTGAAAAATGATTGAATGAATTCACTGCACTTCAATTCACAAAATATTGCACTTATATAGTGCAC